CCATCTGATAGATTTGAGGTCATCAGGGTCAGATCAGGTTCACTACAGTCCCCCCTTTGGAAATCATCACCTGTCCATGGGGATGAATTCCAACCGTGAACTTAGACCTTCAAGTGTCCTTGAGCTTGATGTAATCCAGCAAGGAAGACCAAAGTCAGAAGTAATCCAGCGAGGAAGACCAAAGTCAGAAGTAATCCAGCAAGGAAGACCAAAGTCAGAAGTAATCCAGCAAGGAAACAAAGTCAAGGTAATTCCACAATGTTCTTGGTATTCCATTGTGTTGATTATAATCCCATATCGTCTCGATAATTCCATTGTAGCAATGCTTTAACCCCTTGGAAACAGAGTCTGTAATCCACTGGAAAAAGTCATATAATCCACAACGGTAAATCCATAACGATTGGAAGTGTTGATTAATCAGCATACAGAGGGGTACCCTTGGATTGAACTGAAGAAGCGGCCACTGGATGAAGAGTGGAGACCAACGTCAGGATTGCAGGTCGCCTCCAGCGAAGGTTGTCTCCAGCGACGTCCAGCCTGTGCCGTTCTGGTTCAATGTGTCATGCAATTATGTGGTTTAAGGTGGGCTTATGAAGGGGATTTTACATAAGGCCTTAAACTATATGCATCTGGTGTGTAAGCTATTATGGTTGGGAACAGCTACAACTACCAGTTAAGGGGTGGAGAATGCTGAAAAGGGGTAACTACAGGGGTTTATGCCTATAGAAGAGTGTTCCAAACTATTTTTCCATTTCTAACTTGGTTTAAGTTAGCTTTACATGGTAAAATATAGTTTGGTGCAATTGTCTGTTGTCTTTTAGACGAACGACTTGAGATTGGGTGTTTGGTTTTCCCATAAATGTTTTGGAAGTCTATGGCGAGACTTATCAAAAAGAATTAGCTATCCCCCCGAATAGAATTGTTCGAGTAGGTTCGGCTTAAGCGTTGTGAGATCAATGTAGATTATGGTACTCAAGGTAGCAATAATATACATTGACTCCGCAAAGATTGCAATTTAATGAATGAACTGCATGTTGGCATGGTTAAAGGCCTCTTAGTCTCTAACTTAACTACACAACAAAATTCATTCTTGCCTGGGGTGTTCGAAAACAATACCAAAAACCAATTAAACGATGTCTCAACATCGACAAGAACAGTAACTAAGCAACCAGTAAAACAACGTTTCAACATCGACAAAAGCAGTGATTAAGCAACTAGGAAACAACGTTTCGGTGCGCCACTCACTCTGAATGTCAGATTTGATCATGTTATCGCGTCTGGTAGCATTATCCTAACTGGCGTCACCCCCCTTCGGTCATGGGAGACTGCGAACACGGGTGAGGACGTCGCTCCATGAGCTAAAGTTAGGTTGTCCTTGAGTAGTTTTAACTGTTTGCGCAGCTGAAAGAGGACTTTTAGGTCTGGATTGGAATCCAGTTTGACTTTCGATGGAGTGTATTTGTCTGGGTCAGTCAGATACAGTATCATCGAGTTAATTGCAGGATCATTCAACTTCTGAAGTTGGATGATGTCTGGGTCAGTTGAAATTGACTTTTCATATTTTAAAAGAACTTGGCGAAGTTTGTCTCTTTCTTCATCAGATGCCAGAGTGTCGGCTTGAGCGACCACCTGTTCAATCTGTGATGAGACTGATGAGGGTTCTTGCTCCATGGGGAGCTCCAACGAATCCTTTTCTGAGTCGTCGGACCTGTCTATGGGCAAGGCACCATAGGTTTGAGGTCCTTGGTCGACGTCATTGGTTGAGAAAAGAGCGATGGCCTGTGATGGTTTCGTGAAACATACTGGCCCAGCTTCTTGACTCGGTACCAGGTTATCTGGGAGTCCTCCCAGAACTGGGATGCCTAGTTCAAAATCATGAAGGTCAGGTTTTGAGTTTTCAGTTTGCGATGACTCATCATCGTTTGTGTGTGAGTTTATCCCCCCTTCGTCCGATGAGGGGTTGTTGGAGGCAGCAACAGCAATGTCTTGGTGTGTTTCACCGACATCTGTAATGTTGTCATTCGCGCCTTCAGAGTTAGTAGCGATCAGATCACTACATTGTGCTCCTGGTTTGGTTCCCATTTCAGCGTGTATCAAAGTGTCTAAAAACCTTTGCATTTCCTCTGTCTCTTCCGAGCTCAGAGGTTTAGGGCCTTGTTCCTGGAACTTTTGTGATTTTTTCGCCTCGGGACGTTTCGTCCGAGGTGGGAGGCGGCTAGGTACGTCTTTTGGGGGTTCCTCTTCGGATTTCCCATGATAATATGGGTCCTCTTGGATCCCATATCCTTGCGTCCTACGCATGTCCCATATACGATAATCACGTTCATCCTCTGAAAGAGGAGCCTTTTTGTTCCAGCGCGCACCTTCATTATGCGGTTTGTTAGTCTGAAAATACTGCCTTTTCTCGCCTGTTTTAGGAGGAGGTGGCGCGCACCTTTTTTCCATTTCTAGGGAGTGGGGTTTAACCTTTACACCAGGAAACACCTCTATGGGCGTCTTAGCATGAGAACGTGCCTCAAACACATTCACAGCACACTGTTTAATCTCATTTATGGATTTTTCTCTGAAATTTGCCATAATTCGTACTGACATGCGTATGTCAGTGTGGAGATTTTTGCTGAAAACAAATTTAAACTTTTCTTCTTCCTCCATTCCGGTTTCATTTCTGTAACCAAAATAAGCTTGGAAGATTCTTTTGTAATAAACTCTTGGATGTTCATTTTTTCCCTGCGTGACCTTGTCTGCGGCTGGATACCCAGCAGGCCCTGCGCAGGAGTCGTACTCTTTAATCAGAGCTTCACACAGAAGTTTGTAATCCCTTCTCGTTGCATCTGGTAGACGCTCGATGAAGGTAAACACCTCTCTGTCCGAAGTGAGTCGTATCAGACTGATTTTATCTTCTACCGTAGCGTTTGGATAAGCTCTCAATCTGAAATCCAGATCTCTGAGGTACGCTTTTGTTCCAGCGGAGCCCAGCGGTTCAGGGATGAAACGTTGTACATATTTTGAGATTTTTTGCAAGTCATCCATTGATGGAGAAGATATCAATGGTCTCACATGCGTGATCAGTTGTGGGGGTGTTGCTCTGCCCGTTTGTGTAGGTGATTGGATGGGTCTAAAAGCACTGTGTGAGTAAAGAGGTCGTTGAGTAATTGGTGTATTAGTCCGACTTTGTTCAAGGTCTGGTTTGGATTCCAGGTCACCTTGAACAACATTCTGACCTTTTTCTATTGCTGCTATTAGTTTCGCCTCACATTTTTTTAAATGTTCCTGGGATGTACAGTAGTCACCTTCTAAGCGCATATGTAGCTTTTGTAGATTTTGTTTATCTATTTTGCATTGTTCCAGTTCAGTTTTTGCAAGCTGCAACTGTTGTTGTAGCACCTCGTTATCTGCACACGTGGCTTTGTACTGACGGTCTATTTCTTTAATCTTTTCATAAGATTTTGCTTCTAGTGACGCCTGCATTTCTGAGAGATCCTTCTCATGTGTTTTAGACATCCAGTCAAGGCGTTCCGACCGTTCATCCAATTCAGCTTTTAGAAGCAGAGAGATTTTTGCTAACCGTTCAAGGCTAAGCTTTTTACTCTCTGCATTTAATGTTCCTGCGGCCAAACTTTTCAGCTCTTCTTGTCTTTGAGCTTCATCAAGTTGTTCTAATTGTTGTATTTCTTTGCCAATTAGTGGATTTGTCAAAATATGTAAGGCCCCCAAAATGATATCATCATTTGTTGGTTTTGAAAAGTTGTCTTCTTCTTCTTTGCTTGTCATTTTTCTTCTATTTAAAGATTAAACAGGAGAATTTTAATGTTTTAGGTTTTCAAAATAAATAAAATCAGCAAAGTCTCTTTGTCTGATATATTTACTTTTATTTAGTGATTTATCAATTAAACGTGCACTATCCTTTTAGCAAATGAGTAAACTTTTCCCAACTTTGTGAAAATCTGTAACTGTTTCTATTTTTAAAAAGTTAATGTTTATTTTTGTACCTTAGTTTTAAGGGATTACCAGTGAAATAAAACTTTTTGGTGAATGCTCGTTTGCATAAATACCTTATAACATTTAAAATGCAAGATAACAGTAATTTTCAGCTTTAAGGAACGTTTATTAACTCGAAAATGCTTTTAGAAAGATTAAAACGTTTAATTTCACTGTTTAGACCTAAAAGCGAGTGAAACCTGTCTTCTCAAGGTTGTCCAGAAGATGTCAGCCTTACCTTACTAATCTTAACTCAGACACTGTTTGTGTTATCCACTAGGGGAGCTATAACTTCCTGTG